GATGCAGGAGGCATCATAATACCTGATCTGAAATTATACTACAGAGCTATAGTAACAAAAACCGCATGGTATTGGCATAAAAATAGACTTGAAAACCAATGAAACAGAACAGAACACCCAGGGACAAACCCATATATTTATAGCCATCTGATACTTCATAAAGGGGTCAAAAATATATGTATAGACATATCAAAAGACAGTCTTTTTAACAAACGGGCCTGGGAAAACTGAATAGTCATATGTAGAAAAATGAAACTAGATCCCAATTTCTTACCCTGCACAAAAGATAAATTAGAAAGGATAAAAAACATATAACTTAGACAAGAAAACTTGCAATTGTTAAAAGAAAACCTAGGGTCAACACTCCATCATATTGTACAGTAGACTTGTACAGGCACGAACTTCCTCAAAAAGACCCTTAAAGCTCAAGATACAAAATTAAGAATCAATAAATGGGATGCCATCAAATTAAAAAGCTTCTGCACACCAAAGAAAATTAGTAAGAGTGTGAAAAAAGATGGGCTGGGGTCGTGGCTCAGAGGTAGCGTGCTTGCCTGGCATGTGTGGGGTGCTGGGTTTGATCCTCAGCCCACCTAAAAATAAAATAAAGATATTGTGTCCACCTATTACTCAAAAATAAATATTTTTTTTAAAAAGGGTGTGAAGAAAGAACCTACAGAATGGGAGAAAATCATTGTCATCTGCCTCTCCAACAGGGAATTAATATCTAGAATATACAAAGAACTCAAAAAAATTAATAAAAAAAATAAAAATAGCCCAATCAGTAAATGTACAAAAGAACCAAACACATTTCTCAGAAGAAGAAACACAAATGGTCAACAAATACATGAAAAACTGTTCAACATCTCTAGCAATCAAGGAATTGCATATCAAATCTACACTAAGATTTCATTTTACTCCAGTCAGAATGGCAATTATCAAGAATACAAACAGTAATAAATGCTGGTGAGGAACTGGGGAAAAGGGTAGACTTGTACATTGTGGGTGGGACTGCAGACTAGTACAACCACTCTGAAAAGCAGTATGAAGATTATTCAAAACACTTGGAATAGAACCACCATATGATCCTGCTATCCCACCCCTTGGTATTTATCTTAAAGAACTAAAATCAGCATACTGTGGCATTATAGTCACCTCAATGTTTATAGCAGCACAATTCACAATGCTAAATTATGGAATCAACCTAGATATCTGTCAATAGATGAATGGATTAAGAAATTGTGGTGCTGGGCGTGGTGGCACACGCCTATAATCCCAGCAGCTCAGGAGGCTGAGACAGGAGGATCTAAATTCAAAGCCAGCCTCAGCAAAAGTGATGTGCTAAGCAACTCAATGAGACCCTGTCTCTAAATAAGATACAAAATAGGGCTGGGAATGTGGCTCAGTCATTGAGTGCCCCTGAGTATAATACCTGGTACCTGCCCCTGCCCCCCCCACCTAAAAAAGAAAGAAATGAAGTTGTGGTGTGTGTGTGTGTGTGTGTGTGTGTGTGTGTGTGTGTATACACATACACACAAAAAATGTAGTTTTCCTCAGCTATAAAAAAGAATTAAATTATGGCATTTTCTGGTAAATGTATGGATAGACAACATTGTGCTTAAATGAAATAAGCCAGGCTCATAAATTCAAGGGCTAAATATTTTTCTCTTATATGTGGAAGCTAGAGCAAAATAAAGGAAAGAAGAGGAGAGGACTGACTATCATAAAAATATGAGGAAGATCAGTAGAGAAGAAGGAGATTGAGAGCAAGAGAGGAGAGAAAGGAAAAGGGAGGAAATACAGAATGAATTTTTAAAAAATCACAGATAAGTGCACCATAGGGAATTTCACCTTTGTATATAAATAGAAAGAACCAATTAAAAATAAATAAATAGATGAGTGAAAAGAAGACTAGTAGAGTAGAGGAATCGAAGGGGGAAGAAAGGGGAGAATGTGAACTGAAATCAAATCCCATGCATCTATGATTTTGTCAGGATGAACCCAACTACTATGTGTAACTATAATGTGCTGATAAATTATTTTTTTAAAAAAATTAACTTTACTACTTTAAAAATTGTCCACCAAAGCCCCAATTAGAAAGTGGTGGAAACTTTAGAAGGTAGGGACTTGAGGGAAGTCTTTAGGTCATTGGTGATATATCCTCAGAAAGGACGTGAGTCCCAAGTCTCTTCTTATCTCTTTGATCCAAGACCAGGATATGAGTCCTTTTGCTCTGTGGTGTCCTCCTGACATTATATGCTATCTCACCACAGGCCCAAAGCAATTGATCATCGATTGGAAACTCCAAAACTGTGAACCAAAACAAACCTTTTCTATTTTTTAAACCATTTCTATTTTTAAGTTCACTATCTCATGTATATTGTCATAGTGTTGGAAAACTGATTTATGTAATCTCTACTTCATATACTCACACCAGATAGTGTGTGTGCTAGGTGGTGTGGGAACAGATTCCTCTAAGGAGAAGTGAAAGCAAGGCTCCAGTTAGTCTAGATTTAGTGGGATTTATTTATGTGGCTTGTCCTCTCTTTTATAATAGTAACTCTATCTATTTGCTTTAAAGAAAATGATAATACAAAAATGTCATCATATGGAAAAATAATCAAAGAGTATGCCACTAAAAATTTTGGAAAAAAAAAAAAAGTCCTATAGACTTTGTCAGGGAGTTAATCAACAAAATTATTTTCTGACATTTTTATATTTGCAGTATTTGTTTGGCTTTTTAAATTTGTAAGCTATTGTGATTTCTTTTCTAATTCTGAATAAATATTCCATTTCATATGGGAGTTTGTATTTGCCACTTTGTATTTTTTTCCTTAAAGAAGGTCCTATATAGCTCAAATCTGTGTTCCATGCATTTCTCTTTGAAGATTTTAACTAGCTGTGATAAGCAAGAACAGGTTCCTTGTTTTAGAAGGAATGCTTATTTGAATAATCAGACCATACATAAATGTCAATTCACCTATGAATCATATACTTTGAAAATGATGTCCTTCTCTATTTTTTTTGGCTACTTCCATGCAGGCTGGAAAAATGAAATCTGTAATTATCTGAGGCATCTTGCTTCTACTATTAATAAAAAAATATTTAAACTAGCTTCCTGAGCTAATTCTCTTATTATTCACAGAGTTCCCTATTTTGTGCTTGCGTAAGCATAATAAGTTCAAGTCATTTTCTGTGGAAGATGCTTGTTTGGTGGCAAGCAGCTGGTGATATTTCTTCATGTGATGACTTTTCCATAAAAGTAAGTCATTCATGCCAAGGAAGAAGATGATTATCAGGGACTGGAAATCCTAATTAAGTCATGTTTTTTTTAAGCTACTGAGTTTATCTTGTGAACCTGATGACTTCCTGGCTTTAATCAAGAAATTATTCCAGGTTGTGGGGAAAATAAATATCTGTAAGAATTAAACCAATTTATATATGAAGTACTTCCTTAAAGGCAACATTGAATTTTATGGTTATAAAATTACATTTATCAAATATACTATTTAGAGTATCTGAATTTTTATGAATATTTTAAAACAAATAATATTGGAATTTTTTAACATGCAGTGAAGAAAGTAAGAAACAATGCAGTATAATTAAACTAATTTAGTGTTAAAATTCTTCAAGTATCTTTTAATTGAATTAAAGTAATTCAAATAATTAAAATTCTGAAAAATTCATGGAATAACTATTATTTATATTTGAGTGAGAACATCTGGGAAAATTTTAGCTTCCTTAGAATACACAGGACCACTTTAACAAACTCAAAAATTATGCTCAATTATTATCTCCTTTTAGATACAAGTTTTTCCCCCTAAAAACAAATGATAATTTATTGTGAAATTCCATTAGTTATATTTTGACACTATATTAACTTCAAAAGACAAGATGGGAGGCACAAAGAAACATCCAGAAAATGGATAAAGGCAATTTTGTTCTACTTAGGAAATTCTAACATCAGATAATAATAAAAATAGTAATCTAGTGAGTAGAGAAATTATTAAATCATAAGAGAAAATTAAATAGAAAGAAAAACCATAATTTTTATGGGCCATAAGATCAAGAACTTGTCTTAATGAATCACCATTCAAATAATATGGATACTGATCTGGATGGCCCATGGGACAGGAAAGGATAGTCAACTACCAGGGTACCAGAGACAAATTGATTGTAACTAAATTCAGGAAGTAGAAATACTCATGCAATGGTGTTCAAATACAATTTCAAATGTTGTATGTTTAATAGGGACTTTCTGGGCTTTTAAATTTTTTCAGTAGGGATCAAAAATTTGCAATACTCTGTGTCCCATAGTACACCTGTGGTCCATGGGAGACAGACTAGGTGCTTTGGCACATTGTGTGCAAAGGGAAAATTAAAACAGAAGAAAGTTGGTTGCGGTGGTGCACACCTGTAATCCCAGCTGCTCTGGAGGCTGAGGCAAAAGGATCACAGGTTCAAAGCCAGTTTATTGAGGCTGTAAGCAACCTACTGAAACCCTGTCCCAAGATGAAAAATATAAAGAGCCAGGGCTATGGCTTAGTGGTTATTTACCCTTGGGTTCAATCCCTAGTACAAAAAAAAAAAAAAAAAAAACAGAAGGAAGAAGGAAGATGTTTCATAACTTGGCAGACTCCACTCAACTCCTCCTTCTCCCACTTCCAAACTTGCTCTCAACCTTGACAGTTTCCCCAATTTAAGGAAACTTTATCCAGAAGGAAAGTAAAGCCCTTTAGGCTGAGGTCTGAAGATTCTTCATCAGGACTTGTGAGGGGACTGGCAAGGATGATAGGAAGAACTGGCCTTCTGGAGACCTTCCAAAATACCCTAGCAGACTTTTCCCAAATACCCACCATGTATCAGTATGCGGGTTAACTAAGGCTGGGCTGTGAGCCTATTTGGTCAAGAGAAATTCATGAGATCTGTGGCTCCTTTAAAGGGGCAGCAGATCAAAGGAAAATGAAGCACAGGTCATTTAGTAACTAAGCCACACTCACATAAGTTGAGATCTTCCCAGTTTCTCTCCACCAAAACCGCAAAGCTGCAATTCTGCTGTTGTTTTTCACTTCGTATACTATGACACCTTTAGCACAGATGCCCAAAGCCAGCTCCTCTTCTGGCCTTTTTTTCTCTGGGAAAATCTGGTGAACTAACACTCCATATTCTGGGAGCTGCTGAATGATCTAGAGCAAGAAAAAGTTCTATTTAGGAGAGACAGACATGCTGGTTTAAAATAATGAGCCCAAACCATTCCATGAAAAATACATTAATAGATATTGTCACTCAATAAGTTTGGAAACACCCAGCTAAACAGATTTTCTTATTATGGAATGTACCCACACCTCTGATATAATGATGATGATGATGGGGTGTATGTGTGTGTGTATGTATTGTTTTTATCTCATGGAATCTCAATTGTAGAAGTCCTAAAGCAACCCTTGAAACACAGTTACATGACACAATAGCATAATAATATTCTGAACAAGTATTTTTAGAATTGAGACTCTCCTGGAACATCTCAAGGTAAGAAATTCCTTTTTTCCAATTGTGTAAATCATCATCACCTGCAGTGTTGTCTGCTCAAACCTCTTTGTGTTACAGATGGAAAAACACAGGCTCAGACACAGAAAACAACTTCTGAATCATTAGCATTAGTGTCAAACCAAGATAAGCCATAACCACCTTGCAGAGAAAACATCCCATCACTTTAGTATTTCTTACCATGCAGCATTGCCTTTATAGGATCTCCATAGTCCCAGATCTCTCAGTTTACCAGGAGACTGAATTTTGTCAGGGATCAAGAGTCAATTAGAGTTGGAGACTGCATCTGGCAAACTAAATTCTTAAGAGAATTTGAGATATAAACTCACATGTATGTTTTTAAGTCTGAATGGTAGTCATGTCCTTTTCATCTTTATCTTCACCAGGAAGAGGACTCCAGTCCTCATCAAGATGATGCACATGGACCCACAGCAAGGGTCCTTATAACCAGGCACTTATAACCCTCTCAGAAGGGTTTCATTGGTGGTATCTGGTACCTCGTCTCCACCCCCAGTAGAATGCCATGTCCTACCTTTCTCGCCCCCTGGCAGTCACAAAAGCAGGCACAAATTACAGCTTTTGTCTGTCTCTCTCAGGTTCATTGCTGATCTCTCTCCTTGTGTTGATAAAGGATCTCTACAGATGGTTGATAATGCCTGTGGATCCCATGACTCTCCACATGGTTTCAATTAAATTTCTGGATGCTGAACCTCTTCTTTTAACTTTGGAGAGACATGTCATTTTCATTATCATTCAAAACAGTATTTATTGAGCACAGATGTTGAAATAACCAGTGGCCAGATTGGGCATGCGATTGGTTAAGGTATGACAGAGTAGGGCCACCCCAAAACAATTAAGTGAATTCTTTTAAAGAATTTAGCATGATATTTCTTTAAAAACAATTTTAAAGCATTAGTTTTTGTGAGAATACAAATGCCTTGTTTACATTTTTTTTAATTACTTGGTGTTAGCTTTATTTTATTTTTTAATTATACTGAGAGGGTTATAATACTTGAGTGCTGGGGTCCCCAAATTCTTAAGTGATAGTGTTATGCTAAGCATTTCCCATGCTTTATTTTATTATTTATTCAATCTTTACAGAAATGCTAAGATATAGGTATAGCTACCTCTTTTAAAAGGAGAGGATGGAGGCACAAAAGGGATAAGTAATCAGGTCAACTAAACATTTTGTCCCTACAGGTCAAATTCTTCAGTTAAATGATTTTTTAATAAAATTCAACTTTTCCCTGAAAATGCCACTTCATCGTCTATTCTTATACTATAAGGAAGTCATGGAGAAAGTAGACCTACTGTTACAGGAATTTCATTCCATACTATGGTTGATATCTACAGTCATGGTTACAAAGCATACAAGCATTGCTTTACAGTGCATTTGATACAGCTTGATGGTCCAGATCATTACTTGCTTTGATGATTCCTATTTTAATCACATAATCAAGTATCATCATAACCGTGCTCAGGAAAAGTAAATAAGAGTTTTGGTATATACAAAACCCATTGATCAGCTACTGGTTACTTGGAAGTTATTGGTGACCCTTCTGCCCAAACTTTGCTGCCTATTTGCCATGAATAATTCAGCCTGGCTCTACCATTTACTTGGATTCATGTGCTGCAGATAATCACATTCAGCCTTTCCTTGGTTTCCAACAAGATCAAATTTCAGTTCCATTTCATGTCACCTCTTGGCATATATGCTCAAAACATCAAGTTCTATTGAAACAAATGTAAAGAAAAGTGCAAGACCCAGAGAGCAGTTGGTGTCAATATGGTGCATCACATTTATGTGACAAAATCGATCTAAAAGTAATGCTTTCAATTCTCTCTTACTACATATATCAGAAAAACCTTCTATTAATATAATGTTTTAACTTTTGGTTTAGTATATTTTAGTACATACTAAAGGGCAAATACTTCAATTAAGTATATCTGAAAGACAAATTGTTCAATTGATCCAAATAATCCTCCAAAGTTTCCATTTTGGAGCCAGGAATGAGAATATGTTCATATGAGACTTTTTGCTCCTGAGTTTTCATTCTAAACTAAAATACAGGGTATTCAGAAAGCCTTGAATCACAGTCTGTAAGAAAATAATATTATCTGTCTCCTCTCTGTTCTACCAGGGAATCTTCCATGGTGTCTTTCCTCACCCATCTAGCATGGCTGTTATCTGCCTCCTTCTCAAAGGGTCATTTCATCTTCATGTGATAAGGGCCATCCTTTTAGGGGTTCCTGTCTTGACTGCAGCAGACATCAAAATAAAACCGGAACCAGGTGCTCCTGTACACCAATCCCTAGAGCATCCTTGCTTTACTGAAAACTGTTGAAAACAACTGCACTGTTATTTCCAGGTGTTCACTCAGAGATTCACAACAACTCATATCCTTTGACCCTATAATTCCACTTTTGAGAATCTTTCCTAAGAAAACATGCTGAATAATTGAGACAAATCCTTCTCAGAATTCTTTTCAGTGCTGACTTGCCAGGAAAGGTTGAGGAAACTAGCTCTCAGGCAGTGCCTGACAACCTAAAGACAACAATGCCTTAAAATGGTTGATATATCAGGCAGCCCTTATAAAGGATGTTTGCAAAGCATTTGCAATCATCTGGAGAATGCATTGGTTATAATGCTAAGTGGGGAAAAATACAGGATACAACCAGTACAAGTTCAACAGCTAAAAAACCAAAAACATTTAAATTACATATCACAAGCCCTACTTGTGTGGGAAAATGGTTCTGTGGTTGAAGAAGTCTGGCAAACATCGAGTTAACATTAAACAAGCTGTTCTGGGGTTAATATGCTTTTGTAATCGTGAATCTTGCAGAGAGAGGATGGTATTCAGCGTTATCCCACCCTGGATTGCTGCCAAGTCTGCTTCTAGTGTGAGGTGATGAACCAGCAGAGCTAGGCATCGTGATCAGGAATGGGTTTTTTGTTTTTTTTTTAATAAAATAGAAAAGCCATGAGGAGCTATGATTAAATAATCCAGCACTATTTATAGAGTATCTGGTCTCTGCTACAGGTTCTAAGGATCTAGGGCCCTCCAGGCATTTACAGCCTAGTAGAAGAGGGAAGAAATACCCAGAAGAGACTATACTGCTCGTTGTCTCAGCAATGTGTAGCAATAATGTTTAAACTGCTTGTTACCGTCAACTTGTAATTCCACTCAAGAGATTCTAACCCTAACAAATTAGGCAGAAATACAGGTAAAGATTTATATAGAAAAATACTAATCTCAGTACTGTTTACAATAGTCCCATATTGGAAAAAAAATTATATGTTGAGCAATGGAGCACTGAGGAAGAAAATATATATTGCTTCAAAATAAGTTTGAGATCCTCATGATGTGAAATTACATAAATACATACAATTACATATATAATATAAATCCACTTTTAAATATATGTGCATACATACATATATTTGAATGCATAGGACAAAGAGAGGAGGGTGAATATACAAAAATGTAAATGTGCTAACTCCAAGGGACCGAATGATGGAAAATGTTTGTTCAACAGTCTTACGCCCTAACGAGGAAGGTCCCAGTGTGCCCTGTCTAGTTCATCTCTCTGCACCCAGGGCAGGCAGCCTACATCATTAGCAACTCCATCCAGTCCACCAGGGGGAACCAGGAAAGCCGGAGTATTCCTTGACACAATGAAGATTGCATGCAAATGAAATCAAATCTATTCAGTGCTTCCTGTGAAACACTGGAGAAAACATGTTTTTTGCATTTTTGCTTCTGAGATGGTGGCTCCTTTTATAATCATTTTTCATAGTTCAACAATGGAAAGGAAGAACAAAAACAGTGAGCCTGGCACACAAAGCTGGGCTTGGGAAAGCATGGCAGAGAGCATCCACCCTGCAGAAGTCTACAATTGGGCTGAGTTCGTGGCCTCTCGACTTGATTCTTCGGTTCTGTGGTCATTCACCATCAGATAAGCTTTAAAGTCTCCACTTGTCCCTCATCAAGGCAATGCTACATCCTCTTGACAGGAAACCCACATGAAGACTGGACTATGGAATGTAGTAAGTGTGTTTTTGTTGGGGCTTCTCAAATGAAAACTTTTCAGGATGACCCATGCTAGCATTGGGAGGCTTCTGCTAAATGACCAGCCAAAGAAAAAGGTCAGGCCTCATCTCAGTAGATTTTCTTTCAAGCATCCATCTCTGCTAAAGTCAAGAAAATGTGGACAGACTATTTCCACTCATGTCAGGAGGCTCAAGTACACAAAAATGCATAAATCCCTTTATTTTCTTTTGAAACTGTGCCCCAAATCTAAAGGTCCAGTCATATCCCCTGTCCTGGGTGATCCAGAGGATACCCCCTTCATTGACCCCCAGCTGCACCTGCAAAGAAAAGTGATCACTCACCCTTCAACCCAATCCCATCATCTTGACCTTGTTCTTGTTTTCACAGGCATTTATCACAATGTTACCACAATGTGGCTGTCATCCTAGGACTTGGGACTCACCAGGAGCAGGGAGCACATGCTTTTTGTCTCCATTTCCCACAGTACCTGACCCACAGTGAGCAGAGGTTGTGGAGTGAGCAAAGGTAGTCATCACCATGGATGCCTGTGAATATATGCATATTGAACTATTGCTGCTTTTACTTGAGGAGTGAAGAGTGGAATAGAGCTACACTCCTGGGCATGAACCATACTAACTTTGTTGAACTGAGGACAGATACCCCAAGTCTACACACTAGAAGTCTTCTAATGACTTTGCTTGGACTCACATCACAGTTTTGTACTTCAGTTGTCCTGGGAGTCATGCATAGGAATATGGTCTCCCTACCTGCAGGAAATTGTCAAGGATTCTGTTCTAAGTATGCAGATAGGCCCTACAGCACCCACGCTGGCCTGTCAAAACCTATCTATTTTGGAGTTCATTTCCCATGCTACGTGCTCCCAGAAACCTCTCTAATCCCCTGAGAGCAATGAAGGCTTCTTTTCTCCTGTAGTTCAAGGTTCTGGCCTGCATCTCCTTTGCAGGTCTGAGCCAACTGGTCCCCAGAGAATGCCTTAGAGGGGAACACTAGCTGCATTCCTTGAGCACCAGCACATCTCTCAGAGTCCAAAGGCCTTACCCTCAAGAACTCCAGTTCAGCATCCTCTCCCCATGGTGCAGAACAGAGCCGGTGCATCTCTGAGACTTCGACTTGGACCTGGAGAGCAGTCATTCTCTCTATCAGGCTTGCTGGGATGTAATCTTCAACTCGAAAATATGCCTTACTTTCTGTCTGCTGGAAATAGGATGCAGAAGAAAGAAGATAACAAAGGTGTCTACTGTGGGATTATGAGCAGAAAAGAAATGTGTCTATAGTCACAATTCCATTGGGACCTCATAACAAAGCTGCTTCTTTGAGGTGCCCACCAGGAACATCATCTGCTAGCATATTAGAAATGGAGCCAAACCCTTTGACATGAATAGAAAGGAGAAAGAAAGGAGCCACCCATTTAGAAGTACCTTCTGTATGCCAGGTGGTCTTTAGAACTCAGTAGACTCTCAATCCTTACAATAACTTGCAAAAGAGGAAATATTATGGCCATGGCCAAGATCCACAAGTAGGAAAACATTTCATAGATTTAAGGTCATACTGTTCTAAGTGAGGCTGTAGTCTCTTGGGAGAGGTTGGGTCACCTGCTACTGAGTTCTCTGAACACAGACTCAGATAGAGAGAAGAATGCTGAAGTTTGTGGAGGAGTGGTTTCAGGGTACACTATAAAGAATGAAGATGGCAGGATTGGGCAGAGGGAGAAACTGACCCTGCTTTTGTGTTTCTGAATCAACTTTCTGTGGTCTCAGGATGATTCTCTCAGTACCCTTGAGAAAACCCCAGCTTTGAAGGCAATTACATATGTTGAAGACAGCTGGGAACTGGAAGAATCTGGCCTTCTTTAGGCAGAATGTAGGTGAGTTTGCCTGATAAGCAGATCTGAAGGGCTACATCCTACATTCCTGCTGTGCTACAGCCTTGTGATGGTGAACAGCATCCTCCAGCTTGGTACTGGCTGATGCTAGTTCCAGGCTCAGCTCAGATATTCAAAGGGAGAGAAATTGCTCAGCAATATCATGCATTGAAAAGTATTTTAGATTGCCAAATCTACAATACTGACAATACCCAATGTTGCTGGGGATGTGGAGCAACAGGAGCTCTCTCATTCACTACTGGAAGGAATGTAAAATGGAGCAGCCACTTTAGAAGAGAATTTGATAGTTTCCTCCAAAACTTGCCATAGGATCAAGCAACCATGACCTCTGGAATTTACCTGGAAGAGCTAAAACCTATGTCCACAGAAAATCCTGCACAGGGACTAGGAATGTTGGTCAGCAGTGAAATAATTGCCTAGCATGCATGAGGACCTGATTTTGATCCCCAGCAACAAAAACAAAAACAAAAAACTTACACATGGATGTTGATAGCAACTTCATTCATAATTGCCAAAATTCGGAAGCAAAGGCTATCCTTCAGTAGGTGAGTGGATAAACTGGTAATTCCAGACAATGGAATATCATTCAATACTCAAAAGAAATGAGCTATCAAGACTTGAAAAGACAGGAAAATTTAAATGCATATTATGAAATGAAAGAAACCCATCTGAAGAGGTACATGCTGTATGGTTCCAATTGTATTACATTCTGCTATGAAGACAGTAAAAGATCAGTGGTTGCCAGGGGTTAGGTGGAAGGATGAGTAGATAAAACTCAAAGGAATTTTAGGGCAATGAAACTACTCTATATGAAAATATGATGGTAGATATACATCTTTATACATTTGGCAAAACTTGTAAAATGTATAACACCAAGAGTGAAGCCCAGGGTAAACTATGTACTCCGGGTAATAGCATTGAGTTAATGCAGTTTCATTGGTTGATGAAATGTATATTTTGGTGCATAAGGTTTGTAGTATTCAGACAGGGAGATAGTGTGAATGTGTAGGAGCTAAGGGACATAGGAAATTTCTGTACATTTCACTCAATTCTGCCATGAACCTAAAACTGCTTTGATATGGTTTGGGTCTTAAATGTCCCCAAAGGCCCGTGTGCTAAAGGCTTAGTCATCAGTCTGTGGTGCTATTGAGAGGCAATAAAAGGTAGGGCCTAGTGAAAGAAAGTTAGGTCACTGGGTTGGGTGGCTGTCTTTGAAAGAGATATTGGGACCCCAGCTCCTTATTTTCTCTCTCTCTTTTTTTACTTTCTCATCCCAGCAGGTGAGCAGCTTTGCTCTACCACAGGCTCCCAACCATGATAGTCTACTTCACCATGGGCCCAAAGCAATGGGACCAAGCAACCATGAACTGAAACCTCTGAAACCTTAATCTGAAATAAATTTTTCCTTCTTATAAGTTGATTATGTCAGCTATTTTGTTACAGTGATGGAAAGCTAACATATACTCTAAAAAATAAAGTCTATTAAGCTGGTTGTATTGGTGCAGATCTACAACCCCAGTGACTTGGGAAGCTGAGGCAGGATGATCACAAGTTCAAGGGCAACTTATTGAGACCCTGTTTCAAAATAAAAAATTAAAATGACTGTATATTTTGGTACATAAGGTTTGTAGTGTTCAGACAGGGAGACAGTGTGCATGTGTAGGAGCTAAGGGATATAGGAAATTTCTGTACATTTCACTCAATTCTGCCATGAACCTAAAACTGCTTTGATACGGTTTGGGTCTTAAATGTCCCTAAAGGCCCATGTGCTAAAGGCTTTGAACACCCCTGTGTTCATTCCCCAGTACCATAATAAATTAATAAATAAATAGTCTAGTAAGATATTCGGGGGTTTAAAAAAAAAAGCATTTAGGATCTTTAACCCAGCATCTCATTGCAAGGAATACATCTAACAGAAGAAGTCAACATGGAACTAAAAAAAGCTCCAGGCAAAAGTACATTTATTACTATGTCATTTATAAAAGAGAAAGATCAGAAGCAATTTGAATGATAATAATAGTAATTATCACTTACATGGCAGTATCAGGTGAATGCCCAACAGTAAGAGAATGGACAAGTGGAGGCAGACCCATCCCTGTGGACTCATAACAAGCAGCCACTACAAATGATCATCAGGAAGGCCATAGAGGACATATACCATGAAGTGAGAAAGCCGACTACAAATTGAATGTGGCAATCTTTACAACTGTATAAAAGTCCCTGCATGTGATCAAGGCTGGAAGAGAATGTGCCCAGAGGAAGGTTGTTCTGCCGTGATGATGTGATTAAGGAGATTTATTTTTATACTAAATTGCCTTTGTCTCCCTTTTTAAAATGCAAATGTAATCATGTTACTTCCCTGCTTAAAATTCTTCAGGGGCTCCCAATCTTTCACAACAATGGCTTGAAAATCTTTTTTTTTTCCCCCAGCACCAGAACCACTTAATCAAACAAAATATAAGCCCCTAAGGAGGGTATACTAAGTCCCCCCAAATATGACACGTTATCCAACCAGCCTGATAGCCACCTAAGCTCAGGCCATGGTGAAAAACCTGCAGCTTCCTGAGTGGGCTAGCCTCCTCCTCCTGCCCACTCAATGACACAAAGAAGGGCTCTCGCCTCCCTAATGCCTTTGACATTCCCACTATAGCACCTAGTGCAGAGTGAAGCAAAGCTCTAGAAGTGTGTCCTGGTTGGGCTCTCACCTAACCTCACAGAGCTGCAGTTTCCTCAATTGCAAATGGAAATAATACTAGCTTTGGGGGGTTAAATAAGGATTAGATGGTGCTAAGCCTAAAGCAGGCAGTCCATAAATTAGGACTAAGCAAATACATGCATAAATGAATGGGTTTGTATATTCTATTACCTTCATACACACATTAAAAAAAAGGAAAAAAGGTCTGCATTAGGAATCATATGGTGAGCATCAGAGAACACCTCAGAAATACTGTGGACCCCAGTGGTACCCAAAAGGTTGAGGCTTGGCAGGATTTGGGGGTAGGGAGTCATAAGTGGAGAATCAGAACAGATGGAAGCAGAAGCAAAATGAGGTCAAATAGAAACTAGACAGGCACAGGAGGTCACCAGAACGAGGCATCACAGTAGTTAATTTTGTGTCAACTTGAATGGGCAATGGGATGCCCAGATATTGGTCAAATTTTAGGTGTATCCATTAGGGTGCTTTTGGATAAGATCAACATCTACATTAATAGAATAAGGAAAGCAGATCACCCTCTTTAATGTGGCAAGTGTTTTTAGCCCATTTGTGCTATCATAACATCATACCACAGACGAGTCATTTACAGAAAAACAGAAATTTATTTATCATAGTTCTGGATCCTGAGAAGACATCAGCTCTGGTGTCTAGTGAGGGCTGCTAAGTATTGTGCTTCCAAGAGGGAGGCTTGTTGCCATCTCACATGGAGGAAAGCAGAAGGAAAATGGGAAACACTAAGCTAGTTCACTCCAGTCCTTTCTTAAGGCATTAATCCTTTCATGAGGGCCAAGCCCTTGTGACTTATCCATGCCTCAAAAAGTCCCACTTAATGCTATCAACATGAGGAGTAAGTTTAAATTTGAACTTTGGAAGGAACACATCCAAATCATAATAGTAGGATTCAAGCAATCTGTTAAAGGCCTAAATAAAACAAAAAGAAAGACCCTCCTATAAATAAGAAGGAACTCCTCTCTGCCTTACTGTCTTCAAGTTGGGACACAGGTTTTCTGTCTTTGGGCTCAGACTTGAAACACCATCTGGTCTCCTGGGTCTTCAGCTTAACAATTGCAGAACTAGGGACTGGTCAGTCTCCATAACCACATGAATCAATTCCTTATAATAAAGCTGTAGGTAGAAGGATGGATGGATGGATGGATAGATAGATAAACAGACAAACAGATATCCTATTGCTTCTATTTCTCTGAAGAACCTGGGCCTATATAGTAATTTTACCCAGGCCTATGGGACCCTGGGGAAAATTATGCTGGTGGAAAGCTTCTGGACCTGAGTAAATATTACTCAAGTTCCCCAGGTGCCCTCAGTAGGCCTGCCCTTCAACCAAAGGCACCACTTTGGTTCTGGTGAAGTGAGTAGAATAAAACAAACAAAACCCCTCCACGCACTAGAGTTAGACCCAGGTTTCACATCATATGTCTGAAACCATAGACTGATGGTTAGCTGTTGTGTAATTTTATATTAAAGCATTCCTAATTCTGGGGAAAGGGAAAGAAAGCTTGCCAACAGAAATTGCTATGTGCCAGACACTATATATGCATTATTATTTTCCATTCTGCAAATGAAAAAGCCAGGCTC